CTATCTATCTATCTATCTATCTATCTATCTATCTATCTATCTATCTACCTATCTAGTGAATATGTGTGTGTGCACACACACATGCATATCTATGTGTGTGCATGCCTATTTGCCTTGGTATACTTCTGGAGGTCAGAGAACAACTTTAAGGAGTTAGATTTTCTACTATGTGTGTGCTGGGAATAAAATTTTGATAGTCAGAGCTAACAGCTAGCAATTTTATTTGCTGAGCCATTTTTCCAGCTTTCTACTATTTTTTTTTAAGACAGAGTCATCATGGAACCTGGGGCTCACTGATTATGTTAGTCAGGACAGTCAGCAAAACCCAGTGATCTACCTGTCTCTACGTCTCCAAGTGCTTGAATTATAGGCACACATTATCATTCCCTACTTTTTACATGGGATCAAACTCAGATCTTTGTGCTGATGTGGCAGACACTGAGGAAGTGATTTCTTGGCCCCACCTGCAGTAGTGGGAATGTAAGGGAAAGGAACAGAGAAAGCTCTCAGTAACTATCTAGAAATTGTGCTCTTCTCCATCTTGCTACATTCTTTAAGCAAGGAGTTAAAACAAAGGCTCTTTTCTCTGAAGTGTCATAAAAGGGGGTTAGGTTTTGCACAGGAAATGGTAGCACGGAAACAAATGTCTGAAAACCATGGTTTTCTTTACGACACAAATCCTCTTTGAGAACCTCCTTTTTTATTGGCCACTCCCAGCCTACACCTTCACTGACGCATGGCACTTTAGTGTCTTGTGACTGCAGAACATAGGTGACTTACACCTACCAATTTTTCTCTCACACAATTTAAGACAACATTTAACCCCTACTCTGGCTGTAGGAAAAGTCCTGCTCCATGCCAGTCTCCTGCTGCTGCTGAGGCTGCGGCTGCTTGAGCGTATTACCAGTCTTCTCACATTTTTTTTCTTCTCTCTCCCTGCATGTGTGTGGCTTATAACATGTCTCTTGGATTTACACTCATGTGGCTATTCTAGTGCCAACATAAGAACACCTTAGCTTACTTCTATCTACAAAGTCCCCATAAGGGTACATTCACTGGTTTCAATAATTTGAAAGGGACTTATCTTCTAAACCCCACTATTCAACCTACTACATAGGACGTTTGGTGCTGGACTGCCTCAGACTGGGTATGACTCAATGTGCTTTGTTTAAAATCTTGTTCTATGTCTTTGCCAAAGCACTGAGCACCCATTGACCATGACTGAGAGTGCCTCTTGAGAGGGAAGCTCTTCAGTCCTCAAGCCTGGACTACATAGTTCCTCTGTTAGCTGGAAGTTAGAAGCTTTGTGATCTGGACAGGAAGTGCTCAGTGGATACAATGCCAGGGAATGAGAGGGAATGGAGAAGATGCCCAGAAATCCACCAACTGTGGGTTTGCTGGTTGGTCAGTCAAACAAAAGCCTTAGAAACAACCCTTCCTCTACCATATAGCTCAAGTGCCTCCCTCTTTGGCTTTTGTATCAAAAGGACCTGAAAGCTTGCTCCTTGCCTCCACAGTTAATTCCCTTCTACACCCACTGCCTCTGAAGCACTTATGAATAAGCTCTGAGTCACACAGAACAATTAACTGAATCATCCTGCAAGTCGTAGTTTGTTTTTCTATGTTGTCTGTGCTACCAAAACCCTGCAAAGTTCTTACTTTGCCTCTGCATTTTTCAAGAGTGTCACCACCTCAATCTTTGCCCAACTCTGGGACCATTGTGAAACTGTATTTTTATCTTCCACCTCCATCCCCAAATCCATACATTGAAACAGTGTGGTAGGATTAGGCTGAGGTGGGGCCTTTGGAGAGTGATTACATCATAAAGGCACAGTCTCTTACAGAGTATATCCATAGGGCTGCCTGCCCCTTTCCTACTCTGTGAGCACACAGTGTCATCTATGATCCAAAAGTGTGACTTCATCGCACATACAATCTTTGAGCACCTGGATCTTGGACTCTATGCCTTCAGAACTATAAGAAAGGAATGTGTGCTGTTTAGAAGCTACTTCATCGGCTGCGCTTTGTTCCCAGTAGTGCCAACACACTATGAACTACAAAGATAAGAGAACTGAAAAGGTCAAGCACAAATGTAGATTCCCCACTAGGCATTTGGGAGATAAGCTGGAATCGGCTCTTGTCCATCACATCCTTCCTTCCTCCTCGTCTGTATGATAAACACTGCTTTCAGAACATCCTCATGGTAGGCATTTGTCTAGAAATTGTCAAAACATTAGTGCAAACAAGCTTCACCAAAGACAACCAATCATCTTCCTTCCTCTCTAGTTTACAATGTATTCAACATCTACCATGTATGCCAAACTATGAGGTGCATTGCTTACAGCGTTAGGCAAACCCATCCATAAGAACGTAATAGTCTCTATTTATAGATAAAGAAACTGAGATTTGGAGTCTTTGTGGCTTGCTTTAATTACATAAGAATGCATGGGCCTCTTGAGAAGCTGCCCTCTTTCTCCTAAGCTAAGCTGTTTCTCAAAATGGGGGAAGAGAGGATATTGTATATGTCCCACAGGAGACTTCTTCACTTTACTCCATTAGCTAGGCTCAGAAAGCATACCTAGGTTCTCAGTTTGAAGTTAACTTAGTTTGGGATTACCAAGACTCATTCTTTGTCAATATAATGAGCATCCACTAGGTACACTCAGTATATCTTTCTTGTGAGAATCTTCTGAGAATTATCAGGATTTTCCTGGACTGCTCCTCAATTTTCTCCATACTTCTAATATTATGCTAGTATTCAAAGAACTCTGAGCCTCTTTATGGTTTTCCTCCCTGCCTCCTTTGTCCCTTTCTTCTCCTGTTTTCTTATTTTTTTTTCCTCTTTGCCAGAAAAGCTAGATCACAAAAAGAGTTTGTGGGCTAGAGATGCACCATGAATGCTGTGATTCTGAAACTTCAGTTTCAGTCTGCATCATCAAGAGTGCTTGTCAGAACAGAGGTTGGAGTTGGAAGGATGACTCAGCTAGTAAAGTATTAGACTTTGAGTCCCAGAATCCACACTAAAAAGCCAGACATGTTAGCACCCACTTATAATGCATATACTGAGGAGATACAGAGACAGGCTCATCTGCTAGGCAGCTAGACTTAACTCATAAGTCCTGGATCCCAGGGAAAGACCCTGTTTTACAAAACAAGGTGGATCTTGAGACCAATCTTGGTTGTGAACTTGACAAAACTGGGAAGAGGGAATCACAATTTAGGACTTGCTTCCATCAGATTGGCCCGTGGGGATTTTCCTGACTGTGAATGGATATAGGAAGGCCCAGCTCACTGTAGACAATACCATGCCTAGGTAAGTGATCCTGGACTATCTAGAACAGTGGCTGCACCCATGCCTTGGAGCAAGCCACTAAGTAATATTCCTCCATTGTCTTTCTTCAGTTTCTACTTCCTGCTTTCAGTTCCTCCCTTGGATTCTCTCAATGATAGATCATGACCTGGAAATATAAGATGAAATAAACCCTTTCCTCTCCAAGATGCTTTGGATTAGTGTTTTATCACAGCAACAGAAAGGAAAGGAATACAGATGGCAACAAAGCAGAATACCAAGTATTGACCCTGTTAAACAAGCAAACAAAGACCTGATAGTAAGCCATTCCCTTTAGCTTTCCAAGTACAATTCCAGGCCAGAGACAGCATCCTTTTGATGCTGGTTCTAGTAGGCCAGAACCCGTATTTTGAAAACCACCAGTGTCAATAGATTCCTGCCCCACCAAAACCAAGTCAGATCTTCTCAGTGCAGATGCGTTTAACATATTTTTGTCTGGAGGCAATGAGCTGCAAGTTAAATCCAATCAGGCCACTGGAGCATCTCCAGTAGGATTTTAGAGTTATTTAACAGCACAGAAGACTTCTTCTCTGGGCTAATTAAGTGATTAGCTTAGATCGATAGAAGATAAACAAGGACAGGAAAGTGGAACAGCTATAGCTCATGACTAGCTTTAAAAAATGGGCAGTGACTTCAGCCACAATAAGGAACATTGGTTAAAGACAGACTTAACTAATGAAGACTCATGTATGTCAATTGAAAGGGAAGAGCTTACCTGTGCTACCAATGGAGTATGTAACTCAAAAGAACTCTTATGCATGGTCTGCTTCAGTGGGCTTGCCTGGACTTAGAACTCCATCATAAGGTAGGGTAATTCCAAACAAATGCTATTCAAATTTTCTCTAATGGTCATGTCCAGTTAGCATCCATAGTTAATCCAGGCCAGAGCAGAGGAGGTACGGATAGGTCTTTGTACAGAAATCCCTGTCTGTGACAAAGGTCACAGACCTACAGCTTAGAAGTCCTGATCAGAGAATGATTGGGAGTTGAAATGTATGTATGCCTCATCTATCATGTCCAAGTAACCTTTAGAATCAGATAGGACCAGCCTGATTTTACAAGAAAAACAAAATTGAGAAAAGGTTACCTAAGGTGGTAGTGATGATGTTGACATAATAATAGTACCTAATATTTATTGAGAGCTTATCATGAGTTATATTTTTGGCATTTCCCCCACCTTCACTACAGCCCTAAAGGTTCTATTATAGCCCATTTTATAGATGGGAAAATACAACACAAAAGATGTTCTGCTTGACCATGAGACCCAGTGT